CATACATACATACATACATACATACATACATACATACATACATACATCATAAATCTCTGTCTCTTTCTCTTTGCTCACTAAATGGACCTACTGGCATCATATACTTTAAATAGGATCACAATCCTGTCTCAGCTTGGAGCAACATGGAACACTTACCCTGGCATGTGAAACATCTGATGTGGAAGTGATTGTTCTGGACACGCACCACCTCGCCTTTACAAGTATCTCCACAGCGATAGCATTGAATTATGGTGGGACGACCCCCAGAGTTGTAGGGGTTTTGTTGAAAAGGAACTGCTGGTGAAAGTAAAACATACAGCTTATTAGTGTGGCAGAAGAGGGGGTATATCCAAAGACAACTGACAATTTATTTTGTTGACTATTTTGCTATTTGCTCTTTACCCATACATACATATACATACAAATGTAATTATACTCTTAATCACGTCTTCCTTCAAATGTTGCCTGTAATGAAACTGATTTCCAGTCCATCAAAAGCCATCTCCCCTAGTGACTTACAGCTTATCATAGCATCACCCAGTCATCACTGAAATGACAGAAAACCTGCCCCCATTGCAATTATTTTGGCACAATGATAGTTGGAGGAATCTAGCAGGTTGCTACAAGTGACTAATGAGGACATTATCTAGGAGAAGGAGGAGCTGCCCTTTGTTTCAAGGAATAGCTCAGAAAAAACAGAGGCAGAAGTTAGTTGCGGACGGAGGAGCAAACACTGGAAGCAGTTTAAGTATTTTGGCTATTGTAAATAAACTCTTGTTTAGCTCGAAGTCTCCCAAGCCATGTTACAAAGAACAAACATTCCCCACCACTTCTTCATAAACTGAGGCTGGGAAGAACACTTGTTGAGAGTTATTTCAAGGACCGTCATTTGACATGTATTTCTGTTTCTTGGAAAAATAAAAGGATCAAGAAGATATCTTGTGTGAGGATTGCCTGCTTGAGGAGGTCTTAAATTTTCTTGGGATTCACACAGCAGATACCAGGGACTGATTTGTTAAGGTTAGTTCCACTAGACCTGAAAATTCTTCAGAAAAATGTCTCTCTGGGTATCTATGTCACAGAGCGAGAAGAGAAAAGTAAGCTGTTGGTTTTAGAAAGTCCCAAGAGAATTGGCTGAGAGTTAAGCTTTTATGTTTCTTTTCTCCTGTAGTTTGCTCAGTAACCTCTGCTGCAGATTACTAGAGCCCTCTCAAAATGACCAAACCATGCTCTTGAGAGTACAGCATCAATGCTAATTCCATTCTATTAGTTGAAAAGGAGAAAAACCCTTGTGATCAAGAGAGACTGTTTGCAGACATCTGAGGACAAGGCAGCCTGTTGAAAGCCTCAGAAACTTTCTTTTTCTGACGCACACAGGAAGTACTTTCAGTCTAGCAATCCTAGCAATTCCAGTCAATGGTTTTTGTGCAGCTAGTTCATCTTTTTCTCCTAACAAGTTAATTTTTAATGTGTGGTAAAGGAAAAAAGGGAGAAAGAAAATGATGGGAAATATTGGAAGGTTATAAATGGGAGATGATAACTGAATCTCATAAGTGAGTCAGGAAATGAGATAAGCTCACATATTCCTTGGTGAGATCTATGTGCCTCAGCTAGAGAGGGGAAGTGCTTAGCCTTCAAAAACCTATTAAGAAAAGGGAAAAAAAAGACACAATTCACCACTTGGTGGTGGAGGGGGCTGGCTTTTGTGCCTGTGCATCTTCAATCATGTCACGGGCATTAACCAATAGGTGCCCAGAACTGTATAGCACACAAAGTACCGGCAACTGCGACAAAAATGCTTCCTTGGGAAATTAAGTGTGCATTTCCAGTGACAAAATACTGCAGTGCGATTGCAGAATAATGCACGATACATACACCAAACATATTTCCTTTGGAAAACATGTTTGGCTTCATTGCCTGGAAATCAACTGTAGTTTAAATTTTCCTTCCTTTCGGTCTCCACACTAGGCTGTTTGCTTTGCCTGCCTTATCTTTCTGTCCTCTGATCTCTCAATATGTTCCTTCCTGACCCCTCTGTTTTTCCAAGATCCTCAAACTGCAGGTAACCCATGGTCTCCTGCACCTTTAAATGAATAACAGAATAACAAAGTTGGAAGAGACCTTAGAGGTCTTGTAGTCCAACCCCCTACTCAAGCAGGAAACCCTTACATCATTTTGCACCAATAGCAATAACACTTAGACTTATATACCGCTTCATAGTGTTTTACAGCCCTCTCTAAGGTTTATAGAGTCAGCCTATTGCCCCCAACAATTTGGATCCTCATTTTACCCACCTCAGAAGGATGGAAGGAAGGATGGAAGGCTGAGTCAACCTTGAGCTGCACTCTAATCACTGCACCACCAAGGCTCCAACACTGGAAGTTTTCAAAAAGATGTTGGATAGCCATTTGTCTGAAGTGGTGTAGGGTTTCCTGCCTAGGCAGGGGGTTGGACTAGAAGACCTCCAAGGTTCCTTCCAACTGTTATTCTATTCAATTCTATTCAATTCTATTCAATTCTATTCTATTCTATTCTATTCTATTCTATATATATATGCATATATGTGTATATGTATAATATTTAGGAAGTGAACTGCATGGTTGAAAGTTTAAACTGAATGTCAAGTAAGGCTCTGGTTCTTATTGTATGAAAACATGTGCTTATACTAGTGAAGACAAGATCAGCCTATGGGAACTGCTTGATATCACTGCTCAATATCAAATGGTCATTCCCAAGTTCAGCATGAAAACTAGAAATTCTGGTGAGATTTCTCTTCCTATATTTAACCTACATCGTTTCCTTAATCTCCAACTGTATTCCAGCAGCTTCCTCTTCCTCCTTTTCCGGGATATGGCACCACTGTACTTCATATTATTATATCAGGAAAATCCAGTAAAAAGGTAAGTAGCATTAGGGAATATATAGGATGTGAATTGAGGGGGACGAAGGAAAGGGAAGGAAGGAGAGAGAGAAGGAGAAAAAGGAAAAAAACAAACCAGAATGCCATTAAAGCATGCTGGTTTATTCTTGCCCTGGATAGGTGTACTTATAAATTTACCTTATTACAGTGAACACATTCATTCTGGTTTTGCAACAAACATGAATAGGACTTAGATGGGATCTATGCTTATTATTAATGTTAACTGCTTGTTACTTTATTTTAAATTGAATTCAGTTATCCTTGTCAGTCACATATTCTCACCATGGATATTTTCATTTTTGAAATTAGTATTTACTGTTCTTTTAAATTGCTATTGTAAACTACTGGAACTCCGTGAACATTTCAGTAGTATACATATGTGGTAAATAAGTATGTTCATTTGTTGTAAAGACTACTTAGTTGCTTTATCTTCTCATATGAAACTTTGCTATATATTGAGCATGTAGACCAAGACGTCGTCACGTGATGTATTGCAACTTTCACTAAACCGGGGTGGGCTTGGTCAGTGCATGATACATCTGGCCCAAGGGCTGCGAATTTGATACCCATGATGTAGACAATGTTTCCCTTGTCACAGCACCGTTACAATCAAGTCTTCCCTTCTAGTACAATTGCAGTTTATTTATTTATAGAATAAATTAATTACAACTTAATTCTGCTATCTCTCTGGAATAAACCATAGCAAAATCATGGTGGGATTATGTGTATGCATGTGTGTGTTTATGGCGCAATCATATATAATTGTGTATATATTTGCTGCATGAAATGCTGATACAATGGACTATTAAGAACAGAATCATATAGTGCAGCATCAAAGTGTCTGGAATGCCTGTGGCAAACAATTTGTTTTTTGAAATGGAAGGTCTATCTAGGGCATCATTTTGCATATTCAGTGTCCTAGAGGCATGATGGCTGCCTTAAACTGGTACATGAACAAATGCAAGATGTGTGGCTTTTTAAAAAAAAAAAAACTATAAAAACATTAACCCAGCACCAGCGTAACAGAAATGGCTGCTGAAAAAGAAATCTATAAACTCGTTGTGCCCGACTTAAATCAATTAATCACCTGGTACAGAAGTGTAATTCAAGAGAACACAAAGTAGCTTAAAAAAGAAATCAGAATAGACTGAAAAGAGACATAACAACATATTGGATTATAGCTGTTTCGGTTAGAATTGCTTCATGTAGCTACAATAGAATCCAACTTAGGACCCCATGTCCTGAACTAGATGAATGTAAACATGTGGGTGTAAATTAAAGTGTGATTTAAAAAAACAATGGGTAGTAGATGGAGTACAAGGGCTAAACTGCATGAAGCAGTATGCCCACAGTATGCAGCTACCTTTCTGATTTTTATTTATCTATTACAGAGATAGATGAGATAAACTATTATTCTTCTATCAAATGCAGAGAGGGCCTGGCTATTGGCAAGGATTAGGAAAGTTGCCATCCAAAACAATTTCAAAGTTGTTTACCCCAGTAACACTGCAAGCAAGAAGAGCGAGATCCTGTCCAGAGGAAAAACCTCTGTCCGCAAATAGGAAATGTGTCTGCCTCCCCAGCCCCACACAAATCATTATCCTTAGAAAAGGGAGGAGCAATGCAATGCATATTTCCTTTTATTTTTGAGCAGTCAAACAGAGTTTTGCAAAGGAAGTAGCTGGAGAAACAGGTGTCTCTCTTACAGATGTGCAGTGATTTTAATTAGGATAGAATACTCTGCACTTACAACTACCAGAAGCAACAAGAAAGACAGTGGCATAGTGTTTGTTTAATGTTTCATGTCGTTTAGCTCTGAGCGATACAAAAGACAGGAAGAAGCTATTTGGTTATTATAATCTTTACCAGCTTTTCATATGACTACAGTATGGAAAATCAATTTAGGAAGAGGCATGTGTTCTGAAAAATTGTTTTAAAATCTTTTAAATAATCACACCCGCTCTTTTGATTTCCCAAGCATTCCTCATCCGTCACACATTTCAAAGCTGTCTTCACTTTGGAGTTCCACGAGGATGCAGAAAAATGAAAGCACCAGAACCCCATCAGGAATACCTAACTGTAAACTTACCCCACCTCCCAAGCAGGCAACCCACTTTATAATTCTGTCCCTGGGTGAAGCCTTGGCATCTGAGTTATCTGCTCTCACAGCGGTGAAGCCGGATCTAATTAACTACCTGTAATTAATTTTTGTGAAGTGCTTGGAAGAAGCACTTGATGATGCGATAGGCATGCCGAATAATCTGTGTCCTGGGATTATTTGTGGCA